TTGGTGTTGATGAAATTTCCAAAATTTAGGCTCCAATGAGAAGTGCGCTGGCATAGTTCTCTACAGAGGGATCTCCCGAACTTTGTGTCGGTGTATTGTCTATCGTTATACAGCGAGAGAATAAAACCTATTAGTGGGAATACGGTGAGCGGATAGAGGTTAAGGGAGTCGAATATCACACGCACTTGCATCCTGCAATACGTCAAAATAGGCGGCGATAGTGGCATGCGGCAGTACTCTCTCAGCCTCTGGCGTTCTACCAGTGGCGAGTATACGGTGGAAGGGAGAGGACGCACGATGTAGTGAGCCACGGCGCCGATACAGCTGCAGAGTCTTAGGATCAGCTCCAGCACGAAAAATTAGACCTTTGAATGAAACTCACCCTGATGAGACGAAGAATTCAACCAGATTCAGACGACGCTGGGGCGAAAGGACAATCAACGGATACTCTAGTGCGAGATCTTGCGCAACTTGAACTTGAGAAAGAACTTCCCCAGTCATGCGTCGAGTTAAAACGAGTTCGACGCCCAAATAAACGCCGGCTTTTTACTAGCTACAAAGCAACACTCTTTTTGGTCCTTTCCTTTCCACTCGAACTTTGAACTGTATAGTATCACTATTCCGAATGCATAACTGTGTACCTACTTTGCTGCATAAGGCTTCAACGGAGGTTCCGCTGTGACTATCGTTGCCTTCCCATCCCCTGTAAACACTGTCTCCTTCACACTCTTCACCATCTTCGGCGCAAACGTTACAACCAGTCCAACAATTCTCGTAAAGCGAGTCCAGAGCGCAGGGTCTGCACACAAATTTGTCTTATCCTTCTCTATTGCCTCTAAATCCGCCATTCCATTCTTCGACGCAAAGGCATCTAGCATGGCAAATTGCGAAATGCTATTAGTAACCAGCGTAAAATGGTCCACTATCCCTTTAAAGCCAGTTTTAGAGCATATTTTCTGCACGACTATGTTGGTTGCGCCCTTTAATTTTTCACCACTGCTATAAGGGATAACGATTTCATCGGTATTAGTCATGATACTTGTGGTGGGGACGTGCATCTCCAATCCCCCGTGTTTCTTCAGAGCTTCAAGAAATTTGCTTCCTGTGGTTTGTTGCACGACTGACGCAACTTCTTTTCCGTTAGCCAAAGCTGCGCGGATATGGTTGATCAAACCAGAAATGGTGGTGCCTTCCCAGGCCGGGCCCATTGCAACGAAACTGGCGACTTTCGTGCGCCCGCTTGGCCAGAACGTGAGAGCCCATTGGACGTTCGTGCACCCCTGTGAATGAGCAACGATGCGGATTTTGGAATTGGTGGAGCGGAAGAGGGAGCCAATAGCGAACGCGACATATTCCGCATTGACCTGCATATCTCCGACGGAATCGTTTGGGACGTCGAGGTAGCAGACGTTCCATTTGTTCCCTTGAGCGAGTTTACCCAGGTTTGGTTCAAAGAATTTGGAGGCTAGCTCCCCGGTTCCGGGGACCATCAGTACTAGATAGATAGGTCAATACAAGCTGGGAAATTTTTTTAAAAACTTGCAACGCACCAGTGTTCGTGGATACTTGGTCCTTGCATATAATCGCCTTCTGGAGATCTTCCGTAGCCACTGAGAATTGGGGCTCTCCTGGTTCTTTAATGGTCGCTGAGGCTCCTCCATGTCTCGCGGTCATTGGCTATAACAAAGTTATACGTATGCAACTAGAGCGGACGATGACATTAAGCGTACCATTCCGTAGGAAAGATAGACATTGACCAGCAAAAGGAAAATGGGATGAAAGAGCGCATGAGGGGAGAGAATAGCTGAAATAACGGAAAGGGTGAGTGGGGAGATCGGCCAGCGACTGGGGAGTTTCTTTCTGTCCATTGCCTGTTATATACTTTTGTGATGCGCTGATACGGCATCTGGATTTAACCAGGACCTGAAATACTGAAGGCCGCGCGCGCGTTCTTGGCAGGAAGGAAGGAAGGAAGGAAGGACTGCCATTACGCGCTCACTTCTATGAGCGTCAAATTTCCCTTTTCAGCTGCAGGGTCTAAATCTCGTTGAATTGATGATTGAATAAGGCAAGATCACACGCATCTGTAGCTTGTTCCCAGTATAAATACAGTGCTTCAAGTAATGGATATGGACCCACATTATGGTGTAAGTATGTTATCTCTTTTGGCGTCGCATTGACTTGTTACTTCCATCGTCGTAGAGACATCTTCTATCTTACAGAATATACGAGGACCACTGTTACCAGCTGGAAATAAGCCACGATGAAAAGTCCTAGACTTGAAATGATACTACCTTGATGAAAAATGTCCATATTGCTCATGATGGCGTTCGAGCTCTTTCCTTTTAAGGATAGCTGCATACCATTTGGCAGATTCCACCTCGGAGCTGAAAAATAATGCGAAGAACATTCGGACGCTCGTTCCGAACTGTTGATAGCCTGATGGAGCAAAGCTCACAAATATATCGGTGCCAGCTCGGATACAATGAACCCCTAACATTCACCAGAACCAGGCCAGCATCGGTCAAGCATCGGGATGATGAATGTAAACGGAGACATATGCTGTGCATGAGTGGCAAACTCAGAATTGACGAACAAATTTTACTGTGCACCATGAATCAACATACGGGCTGCAACAATCACAGATAGATAGGTTCGAGGTCGCTTGTTGAAGCATTGAGTCTTGGGCACTGTAGGGCACGGATAGTAGATAGATTACACGGCGCTATTCGGCGATGTGAGAGAATTTTCAACCATCTCTCAGGAACTATCACGAGCCTGTTATCTTTTCTCTATCACATGACCAAAACTTGTCTTGCCAGTGCTTCAAAAGTCCGCTCAAGGAAATCTTAAATTCGCAGTTCTGGTCTGTATTAGTAGTACAGCAGCGCTCGAGCCCAAAAAGGTAAAAAAAAGCTCTTTGTACTTATATACTTTTAGTGCCAATCTAGACAACCCCGTAGATTTGAATGGTTACGAACTGAAACATTTGTCGTGCCAAGAAAGATACGGCTTTTTGACTTGTGTGCGCTGTACAGTAGTCAACGAATAAGTAGCGAGTGCTATATATACATGCTTCGTAGGCCGATTCCTTTTCCGCTACTGGCACAAGTTCGCCATTTGAGATGGCCGCGGTCGTATATCCCACTCCAGATACTGCCTTCCCTCGACTAATTGTAGTCGATGACACCGACCCTTCGATTCAGTATTCACCTCCCGAAGCATTTTCTCTAGACACCAGTGGCAAACTTGACAGAGCAGGATGGGGAGGCCCGGTGTTCAATGGCACCATTACTGAAGCCACGAGCGATGCTTCCTTTAGTTATGCATTTAATGGTGCGTGAGCTAAATAATTGTATTTTCAATGGAACTGTTTCTAAAGGAAACCAATTCATCATTGCAGGTACTTTTGTACGTGTTATGCTTGCCACTCAACAATTGGACACAAATTCGAGCGGCTGGGGCTGCATGGTAGATGGCCTCCCCATCCACTCCTTCGGCATGGACCCTTTCCAGATCACCAATCACTTTGCCTGCGACTCGGGGTCGATCCTAATTAATTCGCCAGGGGAGCATACACTTACCGTAAACCTTTTTCCAAGTCGAGAATCAAACGGCTCCCCCATCTGGTTGGACAGCATTCATTATCAACCCCTGCCTTCCGACCCACTGGACGCAGTAACGCTCAGAGTTCAAAATAGTGATCCTTTGTCGATGACATTTGATAACAGTTCCAGCCAATGGTCATGGCACGACTTTGCTGCAGATGATGCGGAACGAGAGACGAATGCTACATTTGTGGATAAAACAGGGAACGAGTTTTATTTTCAACGGTGCGTCTAGTGATACCATACTATTTACTTACTTATCTTTTTACAGGTACATCTGCTATATTGTACGGAATGAACTTTGGTGGAAGCTATAACAGGCTAAGCGGAATCTACAATGCAAACGAAGCCGTTTACGCGGTAGACGGAGGACCCAGCCAAACATTCGCGCTTCCAGGGAGTGCATCGATTACGAACTCCTCCGGAACCTATGTTGTCTCGCTTGTCAACTGGCCTCTACTCGCCGTAGACAACCTCACCGAGGCACAACACGAGATTTCAATCGTCACCGCTTTTAATAGCACTGTTACTAACCTTGCAAACGATGCTACTGGCGGCGTCCAGCCGCTCAGTGTGTCCTACTTTTATGTCAAAACCAACCCCGCCCAGCTTGATAATTCCTCTCCCAACAAAACATCGTCCACTCCTTCAAGTAGTAGCTCTTCCTTGTCATCTTTGTCTTCTCATGGCAAAACCAGCGAATGTGGAGCCATAGTTGGGGGTGTTGTGGGAGGAATAGCTTGTCTTGTCTTGTTGCTACTTGGATTCGTCTTCATTCGATGACGACGACAAAGAAGCCAACACTCAAATACAACAAATATGAGCCAACGTCAAGGCCCTGATGCAATGCTTGTGCCTACGCCATATACAACGCTCTCGCAGAGTGTGGGTAGTAGCGTTACAGAGGTTGCTGCCACATCTCCATCATCGGACCAGCCCTATCGGAAAGGAATACTGGACTCGGAAAGGCTTGTGTCAAGAAGAAGTGCAGGTACTGGTAGCAGCGATAGATTAGGAGGGAAGTTAGGTTGCACAAGTGACAGTGGGATCCGTATACCTCCCAGATGAAAATTCAGCCGTTGATATTCCACCAGAGTACACAGAGGATTGAGACAGATAATTTACACCTATACCTACACTCCTTTCATCTGCTCGTTCTTTGATTTGGTTTTCTGTATGACCTTCAATGTTACATCATTTTTGTACAATCATCGTTTAGTTTTATGTGGACTTCATGGTAGCTATATTGTGCTCGAATGAGAGGGAATAGGAAAGACTAGTGATTTTGCCTCCAGTTCGCGCAGAAATAAAAACTTTGAATGGGCGCCGCGAAAATGTCTATATATATGATCAGTGTTTGGGAAAATAAAATAAAGGTAGCGAAGCTTCAGATGGCCAACGTGGGGGTCGAACCCAAGACCTTCGCGTCAATAGATGTCTCTATTAGCACGACGCTCTAACCAACTGAGCTAGTCGGCCATGCACCAAAGCTCTCAAGGCGTTTTCTTATGGTTACTGGTGCCTGTTACAGTGGAACGAATTTGTTGCTCTAGCCAATAGATGTAGGAGCAGAAGGCAAGTTAACCCTATGCGGAAAGGATGAAATACACTTGGCAAGCACAGGCTAGAGAGAGAGGAAGAGATCTGCCGCCACCGCGTCTCTGTCATCCGGATCCGTGCTGCTGCAGAAGGTGGAAGTGCTAATAGTATGCGGGTGTAGGCCAGAGCAAGTTCTAGAACTTGAGAGAGATTGGCGTGCTGGTGCCACTCATCAGCAGATACAGCAAAATCTTCCAGGTCCAAATCTAACTCTACAGCAGCTCCGCCAAATCTTGCCAGATCGAATCCGAGTCTTCCAGCAAGCGTTGCGTGACATTGAGCTCGTAGAATCCCGGATTCTGATTCCAGCGCTATCGCAAGAACGCTAGATAAGTAATTATACGAAAACATAAGAAGTTCCTACTGTACCTAGGCTTAAACTCTGGCCCCAATTCTAATTCAAAACGCGCTCAACCGTTGTTCGTTAAGTTGGTTTGGTGGTAAGATGCTAGACGACTATGAGTGCTGAAAGAAAGAGCAAAAACTTGAAAAAGGAAAGAGATTCCCAAGTCGACGCTATGAATTGATCTGCTTCGACGAGCGCTTATGTTGACCTCGTCTTTTCCAAAATCGCTTCTACCGCGAAACCGACTGGTGCCTAAAATCTCCTGTCCACTTCAACAACGTCGTATTGTACTCTATTCGGCCCAGCTTCCCTTCAGACAACTCGAAACTAGCTGAAATGGGAGTATGATTTAGTCGTCCTTCATCGGTACATATCGGCACGCGCTGCCTCCGAGTCTCTCAAATTCAGTGATCAACCGCGTCTTCCCAACGGCAGTAAAAAATTGCAACAGCTACAGCAGCTACATCTCTACGAGGAGGCGAAGCTTGAGGAATCGGAGTACCTCCCGTTGGCTCGTATCTCAAAGAGGGTGACTGTTTTCAACTAGTTCGTTTCGTTTACGCAGCACGCTCCGTTGACAAGCAATTCTTTTGATGTATAGTGTCGCGCAAGCGGATCTCTACTGCAAGCAGCTACTCCATTGTGGTTCACTACCACAGACCTCTTTCGACTCTCGAGCTCTCCATTCACTTTCCACCGTTTGTGTTCGTCCGTGTTGCGTTCCGGACGCTTCATTCTTCACGAGTAATCTTGAATCTCGTGGCAGAACTAGCCGTTGTTCTGCTGTACCATCCCCTCATTGCATTCGCATATGACGCGACCCACTGTGCTTCAGCCTACGATTCTCGATGTCCGAGTCCAGTCTGACTGGTGATCTTCGTCGTAATTCGACTTTGGTCTACTACTCAAGCCATTCCGCTCGGCCTTTCACATTCGCGTCCCTCCTTCTGGCCTGTCAAACGAACCCAGCTTCGCTTGGCCTGTGAAATGGAATGGGGTCCTGACTGAAAGTGGAACCGTACGGAGTCGACTCGATTGCTTTTCTATAGCGTACTGGCGCAGAAAAGGTCCTGGCTCAAGTTCAAGCTCATGGTCCCTTGCGACTATTAATGGTAGTGATCAAGCACTGCGCACTTTCTTGGAGCCCGCAGCTTGCAAAATTGCTGTAGCTGCACGATGCTAGATAGCTTAGAAAGGTGATTTAATAGTCTGGGTAGGAATGCTTACATGTGAAACGTTTTGGGAAATGGTGAGATCATTTCAACTCATTGGATCGTTTACCCTTCATTGACGAACTCGACACTAGCTACAGTACATAGCACAACTCGACTAAGACCGTAAATCCAACCAACCAACAGTTTCCCCGTCCGACATACAGTAGCCTGTTTGTGTCCATGACCTCGATGATAGAGGCCCACGGGTGACCTATCATTGAAAAGGGAGCCAGCTGCGAAACAGTCCTCTCGTCGCATAAGACCGATACGATACGAGCCTATGACTCCGCGCCCGAGTCCGTCCGTCCTTCTCTAAGAGTTGAGGCGTACTTTTCGGACTAGTATGGGTATAACTGGAAGATCCAGACTTCCAGATCCCCTGATCCTGAAATTCTCAAACTCAGATGGATCTCTGTCTATCCAACCTGCTCCGTACCATATCCGTCGACAAAACTAGCTTAGTTCCATGGACTGGTGTCGGACTGGTCCGAGTAGGTCATCGAAACCCGAAACTCTCCAAGTTGGACTTACTGGAACGGCAGAGCTAAATGTGGTACGACAGGAACGCAGAGAAGCATCTTCTCCGTCACGGACGTCCTCTTCCAGTGAGGCTCTTATCTGACTCAGAATCTCGACGGGTGAGTTTGGGTTTGGACTGGGCTGGGTTAGTGATGTCGTCGATCCGAGCGCGACAACATGTAAGCTTCTTCGAATTCACATCTCTAGCAAATTTCTGAATCAATTCTTAGTATTATGTACCCCAGAGCTGCAGTATGTCGTACCCTGGTGGTACCCCAAACCCGTACCCGCGTCTCATCTTTCATATCCTAGTCAAGATAGTGAAGAGATAAGATAACATCGGCCAGGATAGGTAAGTAATCTCTCAAAAAGGAATACTGTATAAAAACCGATGTCGTCCTTTCGTAAAGCGTCTATACTATATATACTCTATAGGGAGGGGTCCGAACGATCTATAGTAGCTTCAGTTATGTATATTTTAGTTTATACATTCATGTACTAGCTACTTTCTCCGTCGCTTCCGTACGGGACCATGCCGAGTATCTATCTATCTATACTATATAAACTTTACTTATAATCTGGTGATACAAAGCAGCTCTTGTACATCTGTCTCAACCGATCATATTGCGTTTGCGTAGACGCAGTAATGCCCGTCCTCGATGTGCTCAAGCACTGTTCGTCCGCCTCTATTTTTTCTCTCGACTTAGACAGACTATGGGTCAAGACGTCATTGTTGGAACAGGATCGTTCCGTACTACAACTACTGGCAATACCAGTAGTTGCTCTCATTGTCATAAAGAGTTTGAGCAAATCCAAAGGCCAGATGCCTCCAGGTCCTCGTGGTTTGCCTTTTCTTGGTAACATCTTCCAGCTTCCACAGCACCAGTGGCTTAGGTTTACGGAATGGAAGGAGCAGTATGGTCAGTAGACTCGGTACAACTTGGATGTCTTATTCACCCGTCTTCTAATCTCGAAGGACCCATCTTTTCTTTGAATATGGCTGGAAATCCTGTGATCGTGCTCAATAGCCACGAAGTTGTTACGGAGCTTCTAGGCACGCTCTCTCTGTGTGTATGAAATACGACTCATTAATTTGATTCCGTAGAAAAACGCTCCACGATATACAGCGACCGTCCTCGTTTCATTATGGCTCATGAAATTCTAACTGGGGGAATCTTCGTTGCTTTTTCTGGATACAATGCATTGTACGTTATTCGTCAACCGAAGTCATTTCATTTCTTATTTGTGGTCCCCAGATGGCGAAAACTACGTCGTGCAGGACAAGAGGGATTGAACGTTCGTGCATCAGAAAAGTTTCAACCTTTGCAGCAGGAGGAAGCACGGTTCCTTGCCTATCAGATGTTGACGAACTCGCGAGACTGGGATGATCATATGCGTAGGTATGCTGCAACAGTTCGGTTTACGATCCCAGCTAGTGTTTCTCCGAGTTATGCCTTTCTAGGTCAGCAGCATCAAGTATTTTGTGTGCCATATATGGCTGGGATCTTATCCAGAAATCCGACGACCCACTCATCACACGAATTAATGATTTGGCGCATCGTCTTGTCCGTGCAGCACTACCGGGAGCTTATCTCGTCGAGATATTCCCTATGATGTTGCATCTCCCTAATTGGATGGCGAAGTGGAAACGTGAGGGTTTAGAATGGCATAGAAAGGACACGGAGATGTTCGAGGGGTTTATAGGTAAGCCAGAAGCTTGATTGTCGTTTCAGACTGCCGAATATGGCTGTAGATAAAGTTAAGACAGAAATGGTATGTGTTGTACCTTTTTCCTTCTTATAAGAACGGCTCGTACCCTATCGTAGGCTACGCAAGGAAATAAGCCTAGTCTGGCCGCGTCTCTACTGAATCAACAAGCCAAACATGATCTATCTCCAAAGGAAACTGCCTGGTTAGCAGGCACAATGGTGTATGTTCGCTACTACTCTATTCCGAAGTGCTTTCCACTTATCAATGTCATGTACAGTGCAGCTGGCGCCGAAACCGTATGCCTTTAAGTACTTTTTACTCTGCTTTCAAAATCAATATTTTTTCCCTTCTTAGACTGCCGCCGCTCTCTCGGTGTTCGTGCTGGCTATGACATTATATCCAGATTCCATGCGAAAGGCCCAACGAGAGATTGACAGTATCGTAAGCCGGGGTCGTTTACCCACTTTTGCAGACCGCCCTCATATGCCGTACCTGCGAGCAATGGTCAAGGAGGTGTTGCGGTGGCGTCCTGTCGCTCCTTCAAGTGATACTTCATCGACTACGTCACGAACTACTTTCGCTTACAGCACCATTTGTAGGTTTACCTCGCCGAACATCCGAGGTATTTTTTTATGCTTTGGGATCCTGGTTGAGAAATATTTAAAATGTCATCCATGCTTTCAGGATGACTGGTACAACGAGTATTTCATACCCAAGGGAACGGTGGTGATTGCTAATGCATGGTGAGCTATTTTTCGTACTATTGTCCGCTCACTCGCTCAATCCTATCTACAGGGCCTTGAACCGGTAATTTACAGTGTTGAATCTGGATCAGTATTGCTAAACCGGTGTTTCTATGCACTGTTAGAGATCCTCGTTTCTTCCCTGATTATGATGAATTCCGACCGGAACATTTCCTCGACGAGAACGACAATGAGATAGACATCCCTGGCACTTATGGACAAGGACGTGTCTTATATGGATTTGGCAGACGGTAAGTTAAAGCGACTCGTACCTTTATCGTCGCTAGACCTATTCTTCTGCATATTGCTCAGGATGTGTATGGGAATGCATGTGGCGAACCAAGCTCT